GTATATTGTATGTGCTGCTCCCCCCCCCCCCCATTATATATTATAATTAGGTTTGAGTAACAATATGTTTTTTAAATGTTAACCTGTAAGTCCACATAAAATAAGGCACTCAAATCACAAATCACAAAATATTTTTGGCTCAACATAAACCCAGTAGTTTTTAATGCAATGATTTTTTAATGTGGTTAATTTTCATGTATTATATTTAGTTACTGAGGTTAAATAAAAATCACCTGAACCAATGTATTAAATTCAGCTGTGGTTGAATCCATCTTCATGTGGTAAGCCACCCAGATGCTCCAGTCACAGCACCATGGGAACATTAGTATGAGTGTAACTAGCACATGAACCACTTTCAAGTAGTGTGGTATGTTTTCAGGGTGTCAGGTGCCATGTTTGCATTAAGTTAGTGTATGATATCCCTGCCTCTGAAACACACCTCCCATTATTTTTTCATTCATAGAAATGACACATGTATTAACACATTTGTTTCTTAAGTAACAGTAAGAAATAGGTACAAACAAGCAACCAGATGCTGCACCTCTGTAGATCAGATGAATTTAAGAGCTGTCGCCACAATCAGTTTTATATATTTTGTGGCTTGTATGAAACTGCGCTCCGTACTATAGGTTACATCTATTATCTGCCTCTGTGATGTGCACCTGCTTTGTAAGTTGTGCAGTTCAGTGAGTGATGATACGCTCGGCTCAGTAATGAAGTCTTTATGAAGCCAAATTAGAAAGGTCCAAACCTTAAATAAATGCAGCCACTGATTTAATAAAGTTACATGATATAATTATTGAATTTGTATTGTGCAATGTGTGTATGTGTGTGTGAGACAGACACAGACAGATACAGGTCCTGTTTTTTCGCTGTTTTCTATTTTTTCATGACTTGGTGTCAGTATATTTGAGCAGCACAAAGGCAGCCCTTGCTTGCTGACACGCGTCTGCTAAGAGGTAAGGCAAACATCTGTCTCCTGTCACAAGCCTTCACATGCTTGCTTTTGCCCAACAAGCTATGATAAGCCACCATCAGTTCAGAGACGAGGCTGCGCGTGATTGTAAAGCAATCTTCAAGCACCAAAATGGGCGAATGGGCTGAAATGAAATTGAAAATGAACTTCTAAAGATGTAAGGTAGAGGTAGGATCAAATGTTAATTAACTCCACTGTTTTAAGCTCAAAGGCCACTCAGGACTCATCCCGTAATAGCAGTCAGTGCTGCTGAAGAGATCAGTGCAGGCAGTCTGTGGTCCATTATACTCCTGCTGAGTAAATCAAACTACTGTACACGACTCTCAGGCTCATGTCTCTGGCTTTATGAGCGTCTCATGAAGCAAGCTCTAACAAAGCAAAAACCATTATGCAAAGGGGATATTCCAGAAGAAATGAAATAGCATGTTAACTAGATCTGTTGGATAGAAATTAAGGGGGAATCAGGGGTTTTCAAATATATTGCTCACAGAGAGGCATCATTTTTATCTGTGTAAAGTCTTCACAAAGCACAACTGACTTAAATACATCTTACATCTTACAATTAAAATAAAGCAAATCATTTTAGATCAGCATCACAATTCAATAGTAGCAATCTCACCATTAACTCTTATTCAGATGCAATATGGGCTGAGTGCGAAAAAAAATGTAAAAGGGAAGACAACCAAACTGAAGGGTTAATTGCAGTCTTTCCCACTGTCCTGTCACTGGTAGTTGACATAAATCATTAAGCATGGTTACACTTGGATAAGAATAAATTCTTGTCTACTACTCTGGTGAAGAAATGAATTGTTCAGACTTGCTGCTTTAGATCTCTTAAATGTCTTAGCAACCCCGTACTTTAAGCAGTATATAAACATTTAATAAATGGTTTATCACACACAAGATTTACATGTTTATTAATGTATTTGTCAAAGGTATAATTCCTCCTCCTGTGGGCACCCATAGTGGAGGCTGGTGTATAAACAGACAATAGATGATATGGTGAAGCACTGTTGTAAAATATACTCAGGACATATACATTCAGGAGAATGTATAATTATTATATAAACACTTAAAAATGTCTTTACTTCTGAGTACAACTGTGTTATGGTGTGTTATAAAGGACTTAAATGCCTAAGTTCTGTTTATAAATGCTCAATTGGGGGAATTAAAGTCAATTTTTTGTGCCATTAAGTGTAATCTTGGCACTTCCTATACAAACCACATACAGAGGATCCATGCTAATAATAAAGGCAAGATTTGAAGATAAGTGCACAAACACACACACCTTACAATGCATTACCCACATTTTGTCGAAACTGATTCAAAATATACAATTAAATGATGCCTAAATAGTCACATTGCTTTAGAGTCTTTTACTTTCGTTATTCTGTAACTGTATGTGCTTCTCTCTGGCTCCGAACATTGCATCTGTGTCTAAAATGTCTGTCTTCTTCATTAGTAATTGATTTGTGCTTGACATCTCAGATACATTTTAGACATGTGCACCCAAGTCAGGTGCAGATTGAAGTGTTTCAGTTGTTGAATCATCCTGATCTTGTTAGCTGTTTGGTTTGAGAAAGTATAAGAAATGTTGTAAATTAACTGATATCAACTTTTGCAATAACCTGCTTTCTTTAATATCTCCCAAATTGCTTTCTAATGAATCATAATCTATTACGTTTCTGTTTTTCCTGATGTTGTACATATCCCAATCTTTGTTCGAGGATCAAAGCTACAACATGCTGCATATTGTCTTGGATTTCACTTATTCTGATTTCATGAAGTAGCTGCAGACACTAATGATGTTGTAAGGGCTTTGTGTGTATGCAGAGTCACATTTAAGAGTGAAAAATAGATATGTGCCAGCTTATGAATTTCTGTTTGAACCTCCTACCAATTTAATTTAGCGATAGTGTGATGCAATTACAGCTTTTTACATTTTAATATAAACAATCTCTCTGTTGAAATACAGCATAACATGGGTCTGTGAACAATGCGCTATAAGCTATAAATCAAACCGTGAAAGAATTACATTTTATATTTAATCTAATATGAACTCTACCTTAATAATATAAATGATATCTTTCTCTAATTTAATTGGCACTAGCTATGTGCATATTGCTAATATAATTCTGGATTTCCATATTTAATGATGCATGCTTTTCATGGTGAATTTTACTTAGAAAATGTCGTCTTTAATGAACCTTAGAAAAATCTCTAATAGGCATAATCTCAGAAAATGTAACTTCTTTATTTAAAAGGTTCTGGGGCCAATTTTGCTGAGTGCAGTACTTAAAATCCAATAGTTGAAGTCTTGGGGAAGCAAATGTATCTATTTGTAAAGGAAGAATGAGCAAATAGATTGTAATTCAAATGGCAGAGTACAGCAGCGCTGGACTTCAAACTCCAAATGCTTTCATAATTCCTGTAAGAGGAAATATGCATGCACATGCACACTTCATTTCATTAGAAAAGAATGGCCTTAAACGGCATTATATGGAGCAAACTAGCTTGTACAGATACACTAAATGTTAAATAAAACAACAGTGAGCTGTTGCAAAAACTCCCTTGAGCAGAATTCAATCATTATTAAAAATGATAACACCAAATAATTGTATGCAAAGTAGTATAAAGTTGCTGTTTTGGTTTACCTCAAAGGCAGCACTACTCTTTTAATCTAAACTGCTATGAAGAAAAGTCTCCATGCGTCTGGACATGTGTGGCATGGGTGTGTGATATCAGGATAAAGATATGATTTCCAGAGAAAGGTGTTCAATGAAGTTCTGCACTGGTTGAGTGGACAAATATGCTCTCCCGGGAAACCGTCTGTGCTTTGCGCTTGAATTAAACTCATGCTATGCTGTTACATCTCTTTTCTCTTTTTACTGTCTATCCACACCCTCAAGTGGAAATCAAACAAATACTAAACACACACAAACACTTCAAATTGGCCGCACATTGTGAGTGGTGATATAGTGTCCAAACACACTGCGTTTAAGTGGTATTTATATAGTCAAAAATCCAGTGTCCATGACTGAGAGACATTAACACCGGACACGAGCACGGGAGAAAGACGGGAATGAAGAACTCTGCTGAGAAAATGAGAATAAATGGATGTCAATCTCCATGTGGAATTGGTAACCAATGATCCATTAAGGCAGCCTTTCCACAACAGACAGACAAAATAGCCTGAATTAGAAGTGCCTGACATTTCAGTTAATTGCGCTAACCATGTCAGCTCCACAGTAGCTGCAAACCAGGTTAAGTCTTCACCTTCTATTCACCATATGAAACAGGAGCAAAGGCCTTGTGCAGGGCTGATATGTGCAGGGATCACTGCATGCAAATGATGAATAAATTAAGTGCAACAGAGTGGATTTATATTTGATAAACGGGTGGATAAAGCAAATGTAAGCAAACACTATAAAGCTGCTTAAAGCATACATGTAGTTTTATCTTTTATGAGCAAGAACAAATCATCCTGTCATCCTAGGGTGATGCAAAAATTGGCCGAGACCAAAAAAAAAAACAAAAAAAAAAAATTCTCTTTGTTTTAATATTCACAAAAATCCAACATGAAGGAAATGCTGGAGTGGAGTGTATGTGGAGGACATTAGAGTATGTGAAAATGAAAAGGCTAAAGCCATCCAGGGCGCAGTTGAAAAAATAAATGAATAAAACAAGAAGAATACAAATTTGCAAACTGCTCAAATTGTATTCTCCTATTATTTATGCTTCTTGCTTGTTAGCTAAGTTGTGTACTTGTATTATTTCTCATAAGCTCTTGTTCTTGTTAGTAAAAATGATAATCAATATAAAAGATAGTAATATTTTTTGAGGGGGATGGGGGCCGCAGGGGGAGTTTGCCCAGAGTGCCAAATGTGCTAGGTCTGGCACTGGATGAGGACAATATATGTTATATGAAACAGCAGATGTACAGGCTTAAATAAATTTGTAGTCTGCGATGTAAAAAGAAGAGCCAAGCCTCTTCTCCTGACCAACAAAAGAGAGCACAACTTGCTGTCATGAAAGCAAAAGGTTTATTCATGTTTGAAATTACACAACTACCACAAGGAAGACTTTTCAGTCCAGGGTGTAGTCTGGTTAGAAAGTAACACTAAACATCTTTAATACATTAGAATCACTGCCACAAATCATTTGTCATGACTTTTTCAGTTTCAGAATCACATACAATAGAAAAAAGAGAAAAGAAGTTTTGAACCCTGTTGAACAGAGCTGGAAATGTACAGTTCTGAATACTGAAACCTCTATGCATTACATTTTTTATAATGATTTTTTTTTCTCTTTTTTTCCCGCATGATTTAGTAACAAGATGAGCAACATTCAAAATGTTTTTTTTTCTTCTTCTGCAGTATTTACAACAGTTTCACTGTTTGGTGTTAATTTATCAACAATGTTCATCGCGCCGTCTCGTAAAAGCCACAGACCAACAACTTCTCCTTCGCCCCCCTCCACCCCCCCACCCCGTCTCTTTTTCATGGTGTTAATATTGTTATCATTTTCACTTTTTTATTTTTGTCATTTTAATTTGCCGTACAGCAACGGCATTTTATTAAAAGATTAAAATATACATTAGATTACATAGAGGATGAAGAGTTTACAGTGTTACAAGATGTAATCAAATTAACTACATAAAAACATTAAATAAGGGCAAAAGAAACTATGGCGGTGATATTGTTTAGAGGTAGTAAGTGAGCACTCTAAGCTACAGAAATGTTGGGAATGACTGGTTTTCATGAATTTGAATGAGGTAATAAAGCTGTGTATTGATTGGTGGGATGTATAATTACTCTTAAGCTATATTATGTACAACTTTTCCCTGTGTAACGGGGGCCTGCTCCTGTGTGTGCTGCGAAGGAATGATCTACTGTTTGTTGATAAGCAGTACAAAAAAAATGTTTACATATGTACATACTAAACATCAAATTATAAAATATGGAATGGTGTCATGTTATAGTCAAGCAATCAATTACACTTCTTTATGTTCCAGAGTTTGAATAGCCATTTCCTTCTACTAATGTATACGGCTGTAAGGCAAAAATAAATCTTGAAAGTAACTACAAAGCTGCCATTGAGCTGTCAGCGGTAGCATTGTCGAGTTGCTGGACAAGATTGCGGGCACATTACAGTCAAAGAAACAGCTGCTTTAATCTATGTATTGTAAGAACTGAAAGAGAATCCAATTATCAAAATGGGAAGTGGTAATTAAATCAAGAATCAAACAAATGGCCGTTTAAAATGTCACATTAAATGCGCGAGTGTCATCCGGTACTTTAAGTTCAGAGGAGCTAATTATCCTGAAAGTTTACTGAGTATTGTACATGTGTGTGTGTATGTGTGTGTATGTGTGTGTGTTTGTGTGTGTGTGCTTACCCCTACGACAAACAAATAAGAGTATACATCTGATTTATGAAGACAGAAAGAAAACACTGAACGATCAGGAAACACTGGGTGTTAATGATGGAGGATGTGTGTGGTGTGGTTCTTGGGAAATTTGAAGGTACAGGAAAAACCAATCTGTCGTGAAAAGTTTTTTCTTTTTGTATTATCCTCTGCAGTTGCCAGTGAAAAGAGTCCATGCCCAGCTCGAGGCGAAGATGCATTAATAGCGGATCAATTCGAGGTATCGGAGTGCACACTTCCGGGTCCTTCTGTCGGAGATATTACAGAAGACGGAGTCGTTGCATCTTGCCATCCCCCATTAGCCTGGGACACAAATGGGAAAAGGTTGAGATTACAATCACACACTCTGCAACATGAGCTCGGTACATTTTTATCCCCAAAATGTAACACAACACTCCAAAAATGGAAATGAGACTTATAGATTCTGGTTGCAATCATGTGTCAACTGATATCAAAATGTTTTACATACAACGATGCTGTGTGATTAGTCTCCGCATTACAGTAGCATCAGCAAAGAGGCTCTTGGAAACAAATTTGTCTCGTGTCCCGACCAATGGGAGCGCTCCCTGAAATCAGTGTCTAAGCAGATTTCGGCAGTGGCCGACAGCTTGTCGCTACATATTCTCCTGTCAGTCAAGAAGAGGGAGGGCTCGGGCCGGGTGAGGTGGGGGGAGCTGAGTGAAAGTGACAAGGCAGGGGCCTCTCCAAGAGAGCCAGTCTTAGCCAGCCTGACTTTGCTTTGCTCCAGGCGTGACCTAGCCTTTACTGGATCCTTCTACGTCACCACCAACAAAGCTAAAGGTTAGTCTATGCTAATATATCTATGCGGAACTTTCAGGTTTGTCGCTACAAAATGAGAGCCACAGTTTGGCTCATTCCAGATATTTTATTACCATTATTTTGTTTCTGATTCTCTCCTGTCATGGTTGCTCAGTGCCGTCAGTTGCTGTTTTAGCAGGGATGATGCTGAGCTCTGGTAAGCCAGTAGGCACAGGTCTACACTGCACATGGAAGTGAGAAACCTTGTGAGAAAGTGAAAAACGCTTGATCCTGGTAGGAGCTGACATGTCTAAAGAGCTTATAGCAATAAGGCTTCAGCAAAGCCAAAATGACACCAAAAGCATTGGATGCTGGCAACAGCCCCCACCATTTGTTTACACAAAATGTGCTAATTCTTTTTCACACAAATAAATATATATATATATATATATATATATATTTTAATTTCAAGTAACACTGCTGCAAATCTAATACCTTATTTTTGATGCTTAAGCCTTAAATAATATTAAACTGTGAATATGTGCGCCTTTTACCCAACAGGCATAACAATATGAAGAGAGCAAATACTGAGGTTGTGATCCAGTGCGGCGAGAGAGCGAGAAAGAGAGAGCTGTCTGACACTATTTCTCTCTCACTCTCACTTTCTCTCTCTTCATCCTCTCTCATCAACGAAATTAATCTTTACTCTGATAGCTTCAGATTGCGCGCTGCTTTACAAAAAAGGAGCCATATCAAACCTCATCAAGGAAGATGGAATTCATGTCGGGAAAAGGGCTGCGGGCGATCACATGTTCATATTTTATCATGAAGATAAGGCTATGGAAAATTCTGTGAAGCATTTCAAAACAGCTAAATGCAACAGATACCGTGCGGTGGGGAAAAAAAAAATTGGGTTTGACTCTAACAAAGTATTAAAGGTGTTTATTTTTATTTCCCCGCTGTGTAATGTGTTTTATTAAAGACAACTTTTAATCATATCAGGTGACAAAGTGACAAGATGCTATGTCTGCTTTGGGAAGGTTATGTCTATCTGTATCTGCCATGAGTGTAATGCAATATAATGCACTGCACCTTCATGGAATGTAATTAAAATATAACCGTGCAGCTCATTTTGATAAAAAAAACAGTAACTAATTTCACCTTTGCTCAGTAACTCTACTTACATTTAACCCATGTGGACTATACATCGTGTTCCCCCCGAGAGCATCATTGTATCCTGCCGTCTGACTGATAACATGGCGCAGGGTATCCACCTGAGGGGACAGACAAGGTGGACAAGCTGGTCAACTCAGTGTCTCAAAGCAGGTCAGCACTAACTGTAAACATGCTCAGTGAAGCAACAGATACTGACTAGTGTGAAATCACAAAGGGACTCCTGAGACAGCACATTTGTAACACAGCTAATAGATTTTCTAATGAAACAAAGGCATACTGACGTTACTAGCATGCTCAGATCTATGACATCCTCTATTATGGCTATGAAATAATAAACAAAAGCATAAGTTACAATAATATTACAAATATGTATGTTTAAAATGAGCATTTATTTTACTTAAATCATGAGTAAGCGTAGATTTTTTTTTCTGCATGGTTGCGATTGTGTTGTGCAGCTGCGTTAAACTTACAAAATGGAAGACATCAACAACAAACAATAACAAGATGAGACAGGAAGATAGCAATATATAGAATACAGAAAAAAAGGGGAAAACACAGTACCAAAAACCCAATACCAACCCAAGAGTTCAAGTCAAAGCCAAATGCATTCACAAAAATGTTTAGATGTTTGGAATAGTAACCAGGAAATTGCTTTGCGGCATGATAGCAGTGGGGTGGGATTATATTTTGGCTGCCAAAATATTCCATCCAAAGCGAAATAGTCAGTAAACACTTTAGTCAATCGGAGGTTATGGGAGGCCTCGCTGTTGTAATTTGAACTGTCCCGTTCGCATGGGCAGCGTGTTTTTTTTTTTTTTTGTCTTATTTTCTATTTTAACGTGCTTCAGACTGCACTGTGGATGGCTCAGTACACAGGCAAGACAAGGACAGCTCTCTGCGCTGGTAGTCAGGAACTGTCCCTGATTGTTGATCCTACCTGTGACTGTACATTGGCTCCGACTTGTGCCCCTTGGTAAGAATCCCCATTCAGACTCTGCATGCTCAAGAACATGTCCCCAGAGTTTGGGAGGTTAAAAGAACCTGAAGAACCTGGAAAGGGAGGATGTAAGTAGCTGAATACATGAGAAGGCTATAAAGGGAGAGCACAGACACACACAAATACACACACACACTCACCACGCACACGTCTGCATACACAGACCCAACTCAAGCAGACAAATACACTGAGGAAAGACTCCCATAAAGCAGGCAACTACAGGGATGAAAGAAAGTAGGGAAAGCAAAGAAATAAACAGAAGGGGACGATATGCAGAGGGACTGAGGAGGATCTTTTTTTTCTAACAAATGCAGTAGACACAATGAAATGAAAATCACACGACACAAGGGGGGGTAGGGGGCCGGTTCTATATGTGGTTGGTCGCTTAAGCTCCCAATTGTTCCACATCACCTACTTCCAATCTAACGTTGGCAGGGAGGTATCACATGGTAAATGACAAGGACAATAAGAAGCTTATGAAAAGACCAGTACCAGTAAACATGTTGGTTAAAAGAGTGTTTTTGCTCTCTGCAGAATCCAGCTGAAACTCTTCATCTTTCATCTGGAATCCTGGGTGCAAGAAAAAGGGACCACTTCATAAGCTTACCACACCCCGACGCAGGTCAACCTAGTCCAAACTCAGCATTACATCACTCATTAAACCGGACTAAACAGGCTTCCTGTTTTGACTCTTATTCAATATGAGCTGCATATAATGCCATTCTGACATAATACTATCACTGTAGGTAAAATGCTGCCAGCAAATTATGCGTCATTTTATTTAGCAAAAAAAAAAAGCACTACCATTCAGTGGGGCTACATACCATTACATTACAAATGACAGGAAGTTGACAGAAAGTCAAGGGAAAACAAATCCCACTGGCATCCTTCTGAATTCTCGTTTTTATTTATTTATTTTTTCATTTTGCCAAAAATACATGTGTTCTCGGTTCACAAGTCAGGAACGCTCTCTTTATGCATGAGTTTGCTTGGCATCAACCGTCTTATAGACAGGAGACACTGTGATCCCCAAGCTGGGAGCAGAGCCTGTCACTCTTGGCTGTGTGAATCGTGCATGAGAGAGTAAGGCAGGTAGGCAGCGGGTTAAGGGCTGAGGTAGAGGGCAGATCTTTTTTTTATTTTTTTTTGTCTATATGTAGGAGTGCCTACCGGAGTTAGGTGTGGTAGGGGAGTTGGCCTGGCTGTTCTGCACTGCAGCGGCTGCAGCGTGTGCCGCATTTACAGCAGTCTTGGCAGCATACAGGTTGGCTTCTTCCTGAAACTTGCCGATATTTTTCTTGTACCGGATCCTTTTGTTGCCAAACCAGTTGGATACCTGTGTGGTAGAGCAGAAGGAGGAGGAGCAGAGGAGTCAGACGTCAAGCAGCCACAGCACCGTGCACTGAGCAGTGTGATTGTTTCAAGATGTCATGTTTGGGTCCATCAAGTACCCAATTCCCAGCCCCTGCAGTAATGTCCGCCGGGTACACAAGCTAATTAAGCCATAATCAGGAGCCACTTGTGTCTTCTCATGGATGGGAGCATGACATGCTCTCGGATCTGTCTCCTGACAAAACTAAAACACAAGGGGCTCCTATTGCACAGACACTTAAGTCAATGTATTATATATATTTCTCATATCAGGGCTGATATCATACAAATCCTATCATGTCCCCGTGTGAATATATATATGAATATTCATATTTTACCCTCTAAAGAATGCTCACTAATTCCAGATCAGTGAGTCTAGGTGATTGACACTTTATGTAAATACAATTACAATTAGTTCATTTAGGCAATTTAATTTTATAAGACAGTAGCAAATGCAGCCTCAAATAATTTATTATATGTGAGACAGTATGTCAAAATTAACATAAACAGAAAAACAGAAAACATTGTAAATATCTGTGTTAAATATTTGACTATTATTCTTATAATCTGATAAACTGTTGATCTTAATTAAATGTACATAAATGCTTTCATTTTGAAAACAAGAAAACATTAATACGGCAATGTGTGTGTGTGTGTGTGTGTGTGTGTGTGTGTGTGTGTGTGTGTGTGTGTGTACAAGCATGCTCAGTGATTCGGGGAGCAACTTTTGTTTGTAATTATCAAAAACAAGAGTTAGAGGGTAAAGACCTGCAGACATGTGAGGCAGTAAACACAGTTTGTCGGGGCAGTCGGTGTTAATTGATGTGTTTAAAGAAAAAATAAATATTTTACCAAAGTAGAATGAAACTCTGAAGGCACAAGGAAGTTCAGATTAATGTCTGCAAGTGTGTATATTCAGATTTAGAGCAGTTGCAAACGCTAATTTTGTTGAATTGAAATGATGACACCCAACATCAGTCAGACACTGAAAAGTTGGGGTGAACCTTATGTGTGAGTGCTGGCTCTGCAATAACAGTGGAATAATAATGAGATGATGCTTGTTTTTAATGGTTCTATAAATTAGAGTGTCTTGTCGCTGTGCCGCTGCCCCCCTCTCAGGCCCTGCAGCCCACGGCTGGACCAGCCAAAGAGCAGCTGCCCCTAATGACGCTTTATTTAATTTCCACCCATGTGCTTAAATTTTAATATCCCCAGCAGCCCGCCAATGCTGTGGCGTAAAAACTGACTGGATTTGCAGGACATCAGATCATTTCTATCCTGCACGTCTCTGTGCTCTAAATCTTTAATATCTAGGCAATTAAAATTAATGACCATTCAGGCGAGGCCCACTGTTGGCAGGGTTTCCTTGACATCAATTGTTTGATGGGTTTACCTAGAGGTTAAACTAACAAGCAAGGTTTAATTGGAAGCAATGAAAGCCCTGGCCATCATCCTTTTTACTTAACCTGCTTATGGTGGATTGTGGAGCCAAAGACGATGCAATATTCTCTCTGTTTTCGACAGCTCACAAAGTGCCCACAAACCCCCCGAAATCATAGAAAATGTTTTCTAAAGCTCATCAGTCTGTTTAATTTAACAAAAATGTTTGTGCAAACAGTGTATTACACAGAACTGCATTTATGTCAGCTGGGGTGTTTGCACACGAAAACATATTTGTCTCATTAAGCCTGAAAGTTGACAGTGGTAGTGATGTATGCTTATTCTACCATTATATATTGAAATGTGATGATTTCAGAAGTTAGGAACGATTGAAGAATAAACTTTCAGTACTTTACTCTGCTCTTGTCCTTTCTGATGAAGTGTGTTATGACTGTATTCTGCCACTATATGGTGTTACAAGCCTGGACAGACTCAGCAGTGTTGGCATTGAACCCTCCGGATGTTACACCACCCCTTCTCCGCTCTACAACGCACTTCTCTCTCCTGCCCACTGAACTCTGGCTTTAGTGATTCTCAGGTTCAGCTAAATATTGAACAAAATGCGCGGCACTGTAAGGTGTGGAGCACAACCCAATCTACAGAACTAATTCCCTTTTATCTTGTGGCAGGCCATGCATTCAATTGACTCCTATGTGTGGTGAGAGCCAGGTTGTGAGATTGAATTACCTGACATCAGCAGCCTCAAAGGCAGCGATTGTATAATGACCATGCAGACTCCTTGCAAGAGCCCAATGCTGTTGCCTCCATCGCTGCCCACTAGTGAGGCCACGGAGCTGTAGTTAATAATTCAAACTATTTCATCCTATTTCAGGTCAATACTCCTCACTAGTCAATGTAAGGCAATGCATGGTCTGTCTATGATCTTAATATATCTGAGCTTACAATGCCCTGAGCCTTAAATACAAATACAAAGGTGGGCTCGCTAGCTGTGATACCATCAATTATACAGGCAGCATTAATAATGAACGAGAGCTCAAGTCTTAGCTTCTCTAAATTCACCATGATCTGAAATATTGAAAAGTGTCGCTCAGAAGAAAAATGTCAGCAATGTGAATGAGTCTCTGCGCAGGAATGTGCCTTAAATGTTGAGGACATTATATCAAATATGGCCTCTGTAAACCCTGACACAAACGACAGCCATCCAATCCCATGCCTTCATTCAGGAGCCCAGCACAGCGCATGCAGAGTGACAGAGGGAATAACACTGCACCCTGCATAATATATCATAATGTCAATAGCTCATCGTACTTTCAGGATTCAGCATTACAAGTTAGGCAACGCTAGGTAAGTTTATCACTGCAGCATTTAGATAAAACACTGGATTTGAGCTGCAGGGATCTCCTGAGGTAGAGAGGCTTTGCTCTCAGGGAAGTCGACTGTGCATCACTTGCATTTTCAATGATCCCTGTTGAAATGATGCAGGGTATTTCGTCAGCGATGATGTATCGAGCAAAGCTGCGGATTGCTATTGGCATACCATTCACGACGGATGGTTTTTACTTAATGAACCGCTCGTGCAATCAGCAAAGCCCCGCAAAAAAAAGTATTTTGTGGGTGTTTGAAAAATTACTTAGCTGAGGCCCTCAGAGTGGCCGCAGCGAGCAGCGAGCAGCGAGCAGCGAGCAGCGTCTGACTCTGAAAGGCCGGGGCCACGGTAAGGAATAACCCACTTACGGCATCACGTTGAGCCTCCGACTTTGTTACTCACTTAAAATGAGCCAAAGCACTAAGAATAAGTCAATAAGAATGTCTGCCGTGGCCTCAGCCGGTCGAGGAGTACGCCACTAATGGGGCCTGAGATGAGTTCAAGTGAATTTTTAAAAGCCCTCTAATTTCTGCATAGACTGATTTGTTCTCATGGGAACTGGATTGGTGGCCTGTGTTTTTTTTTTTTTTGTGCCAGGCACTCAGAACACAGAGTGGAGCTCCATTTGTGAGTGTGAGGGTCAGTGGCCGTTTCTTTAAGCACTACAAGCGGGTGGGGGGTAAATCATCTCAGAGCGCAGTTTGAAGATTGAAAAGACCACACAATTAGTCGACGCTCTACAACAAACAAAAAAATAAATAATGTGGTGAACAGTAGCCAAAAAAGTAAAATTTCATGTGACACATTTGTACACACATAATATGGTGAGAACATGGGTGTAAGCTTAAAAAATATGGATCAATTAAATCTGTGTTCTTGTGTGACTTACAGGTGGGATGTAAATGCTGATTATCCACTCTTTTTTTAAATGTCAATTCAAACTTGAAACACTGCAATTCATAACATTAGCATTGATCCAGTAGTGTGAGGGAGGGAGGTTCTGTGCAGTGGAAAAACTTGTGAGGCTATTACATACATGAACAGAGGAGGTACAAAAAATGAAAACAGTGGATCAGGAGAAGTCATGACATACCTGTGATACTGTGATGGTGCTTCCCACCCCCTGAAGGCAAAAAAGAATGGGCTTTTACAGTATCTGACTCTTCATGACTACACTCAATACCCCCTTCCCACACAGAAAAAAACACGGCAGATTATTGTATAGATTCACGTTTCTGTGATATAGTGTCTCATGAGGACAACCATAGAACAATAGAGTATCAAAAAAAATCTAGATAGTAGTCACAATCATAGCAAGAAAAAGAGAGCACAGGATAATAATACTCTGGATGTGGGGGTTAGGTGTGAGAGATATTGCCTTCAGGTTTACCCAACAAGCAGGCTATGCTATATATAAAGTGGGAAAATATAACTGTGAATTAGCAGAGAATCCTGCAAGGTCACTTGAGCAGCAAGCATACAAATAAATAGCCGGTATCATCTAGTGTTTTGAAGCACCAGACTTAACTGCTTTTCTTAAAGTAATGGATGATGCCATTTTTCTTCCCAGCTTATGACCTGAGCGACTGACCAGGCAACAGAGAGAGCACACATGGTGGATGGGAATGAGAGGGGAAAATGGCAGGGGACCCAGCGTTGTGGGGCAGGGGGGGCGGCTAAGGAAGGACAGCATAGTGCTTTGATTGAGGCCGAGATGATATAGGCCTCCCCTCCCTGTGGCCCTGCTCTGACTGACTGGGACCAGCCTTGACTGAAGCATCATTAGGCAGCCACAATGTCAAGGTTAGCTAAGGACATTGTGTCTTGGTGGTGTGACCTACGGTAACTATCCCTCTAGGCTTTCCCACCCTGATTACCCACCAGCTACTGTTAGATGAGCACTACCCACCTGGGAAACTGTGATGCTGCACTTCTTGGCCAGCTCCTCTTTAGCCTCTTCGCTTGGATACGGGTTGCTGAGGTGCGAGTAGAAGTATTCGTTCAAAATTTCCGTCGCCTGCTTGCTGAAGTTTCTCCTTTTCCGCCTGAGTGGGGAGCACAACGAGAGAAAAAAGGCCGAGTGAGCCTATTAGTGGGGACCAGCATTAACTCATCCATTTGGATCGCACAAATTGCACAATCAATCTCACACATAAATGGTGAAAATAATGAGGAATGGGGCTCTAAGGGCCCTCAGGAGCAGGATATCGTGTCCTGCTCCAAGAGTCTCGTCAACACACAGAAGAACAGACTCCGACCAATAAACTGACAAGCACACAAACACACGCACACACAGTCACAAAACACATACAATGTTTAATTTGGTCTGTTGGTCTCCAATCTCCAGTCCAAGCGTGTAATGTGCGGAGTTTAGTGCAGCGGATGGGTGGGCTTTGTGATGGAGTGCAAAGCCCAGTCGGAGTGCATCTCGGTACATTATAGAAATCACGGCATGCACAGTTGAGCATTGTTCCTGAAGTGCCACAGCCCCAGGGATCTCCAGTAGAAACAAGCGAACTCTAACTAGATCTGGGTCCCCGTCCCTCCCAAGGGCACTACTTATCATGTTGTTGAGCATTTGCTTATTTTTGCCTTGTTTACTGCGCTTCACACAGGCAGTGGGCAAGCCAATGTGCTTCCACTCGGCTTGTTTGGCCCGAAACTTGTACCGCTCTCCACCGAATGCCCACAGTGCACCACACTGTTAGTCATTAGAGTAATCCACAACACCTGCTGATGACCTCCCCTCCATCCATTACACATGACTCGGCCCCCATTTCATTTGGTCTTAACTGTTCTCAGGTGCGGGCCATGATAGTCTTGGAAATGGATAATGCATGGAACATGGACATAATTAAAATCATGCATCTCTGCGGTGCTCATACTGTGTGCTGTGCCAGAAAAGTGGGAGAAAGAAACAAACTTTCTGACCTGCACACAGTCTAAAAATGACCTCGCCCACTGGATTTGCTTATATGGGTCATACATAAGCAATAAAAGTTTCCAGATACCAACACACACACACACACACACACACACACATACACATATATATGCTACACGATCCACTGACCTGGCATCAAGGAATCTGGAGCGCAGGATCATGACAGCCTCACAGGTGCTCTGTTTCAGTTGCATCTGGATGGAGCTGAATTTACGGTGAATGATTCCCACCATGCGCTCAATCTCTTTGGGAGAGATGGGCCGCGTGCGAGACTGTTCCCTCAGCAGGTTCATCACATGGGTAGTGAATTCGTTACATGCCTGCAAAGTGACAGAGAGACACAAAGTGCAGCCAAAGTGAGTTCTGCAAATGTCCCAAGTCACAGCAGTGAACTTACAAAAGCTCTTTGACTGATATTCTAAAGTTGTGCACATTTTTCATAGCGGAGGTTTATTACATGAAAGCTCTTTTTGTTAAAAGCTTCCACAGAGTGCCCTGTTTATATATCACAGTGATGACATAATAGGTGAAGTCATCTCTGCATATAAATGCAGATTTGCAATTTGGCTTGGCCCTAATGCAAGGCGAATTTAAACAGCTTTTCGTTAAACCAGTAGTTCATACATGATTAATTAGAATAACTCATTTACGTAGTGCACACTTTAGCTCATTACTCTGAGTAAAATTCGTTAAGTATTTACATTTAGATAATTAAAACCTGGAAACACCCTTAAGAAAGATGCATTTACTCCGGGCGAAGTGTTGTGTGCCCCTGCGTACCCACCTCCTCTCTCAGAGAGCACCGAGTAAATTAGTCTAATTTACCTCACCGGCTTGCTGAGGCATCACTGTTACACCTTCTATTTTCGCCCATAATGCCTGTGTTTAATGGCGAGCTCAAAGTGCTAGGTGAAGGAGCTGATCATACTTTCATTTAACACAGATGACTAAGGTTCTCCTCTGGATCTCTATAATCAGCTACAACACAGTGAATAATGCTGCAATTTTTTTCTCCCCAAGCTGATAACACATTCTCCCCTATCATGCATATTCTCTGCAATTTTCTTGCTAATGCAGGGAATAAGCTGTTCTGGGTGTTCTGAAGGGATGTGAAGTATAAAGTACAACTCAATAGGTCCATTTGAACGCAGATTGAAATTTAGAATAGCTGTTAGTCACATGGTTATTTAAACCTTGTGACTGTGAAAGCAGAACAAAATTGATATAACTCTCTTTTTCTTGGAAGTGGTGCATGGAGAGCCAAAACCTGAATCCTGACGCTGTTCTTGCAAAGACTCCCCCTCACCTGTTCGTATTTCTCCAGCTCTGTGTGGTAGATCTGTCTGATCTGGGTGAGTTTGGCTCTGTAGTCGGAATGTTCAATGGAGTTGTCGGCCGCCCCGCCGGAGGCCGCGGCTGCAGCTGCGGCGGCAGCGGATCCGCCGCCTTTCTCTGGTCCCGCCACGCCCTCTGCCAGCAGCATGTTGTCTAGGCGCATGAGCTGGGGGTCTGGGGGGTCCTCCTCTTGGGCACCACGGATGCTGAGACCTGCAGCAACACACAAAACATGGACAGCGGGTAAGTTAATGTCATCCAGTGATATTAAAACTGGATAAAATACTACCAATGATGAAAAATTAAACACATCAAATAAGGGCAGGCTGGATTGTTAAGAGCAATTAAAAGCATTATGTCTGCGTAGTCTGCTATAGTGTGATGTTTCCCCTGCAGGTATGAACTGGGTGCCTCCTGTGTATGTGCTGTGTTCCTGTCGCCCATGTCTATGCCTGTTCTCTTTTATTTACACACTGCGCTGCACACTGTGTGTACGGGAAGGCTGACATGACAGCAACATCCATAAACTGACAAATGCTCAATGGTGAAGTGGCACTTCTACTCTGCGAAAGGATGCTAAACAGAAAACTATACCTCCAGTGAGTGTCTCTGTCTTTGACACAGTGAATGCTGGGAACTCCAAAAAAGTAACCTCATTTCTATTTGCTTATGAGGTTTGAATCTTGTATTATTTTACTATCCAGACTTTGCAATATTCTAAGAAGTAATAAAAATGTGCTGGTGAAGTCAAAATCTACATACGGCAAAATGAGCGCGGAGTCAATTTTATGTAAACTGCTCATTCATGAATTCGCTCTCAGACCCTGCTGTTTATTTCCTCCGGTTTTCTGTCTCGCCGGTCTGTCAGCAAGTCGTAATCACCCAGCAGATAGCGTACATGCACACCTTGATGCATTGGCAATGCAGCCACAATGCCAGGCTTTACAGAGAATAAACAAACAAAAGAACACTGCGGGTCAGAATTACAACAAAAACAAGCTGGAGCAATCCACTCTAATAAGTGGATAAAAATGTGACTCAATGGGCAGTAAATACTGAGTGGCTACTCGAACGTTATGATTACCAGAGTTGTTTCAATTCAATAATCCCTCCCGCAATTCAGGGATTTTCAACAGCTCATTACAGCTTCATTAAGATATGGCCAGCCACTGGATGCTAAATAAGAAGATTAGTGGCTCTATTGTGTCAGCCAGTAGGCATGCAATCAGAGGAGCCCTTTTACCATGCTTTGACCGACTGACCCTGCACACCATCCACAGGAGGAAATACTAGAGGGAAAGCGCTCCTTTTCTTCTGTCTGTCTTCCTACAAACACATTCCTGAATAAAATAAAATAAAAATTAGGAAACACATCATTTTGTAGCCACTCCTCTGATGTTTTCATCTTTGTTTCTGTTCGACTGCAGCGCCACTGAAAAACAAATTTGCCTCTATTTATGGATCGGCTGGCTTTGAGTCTTTTAGGTGTAATGGTGTGAGAGGAGTGGATGAATGTGGCTATTTGTGTTGGAGACATTGAGATGCTGGACAAGGCTCCATCAGGCTTCGCAGAGCCAAGCCATCCATGTGGACAATATGCCGCTGCTCCACTAACCCTCATCCACATCGCACTGCATCTGCGCAACTCCACCCAAAGCTCTCGTTCTGGACAGGCTCGACTGTTTCTATTCCAGTTTGTGCAGCACCAAAACAAAATGGCACATGATTCAAATGTTGACTGACCAGACGCCTGGCTACATATCTCAACATGCTCTAATAGCTGGTGGTTTGTCTGCCACTACAGCTCATATTTTCCTAATTCAGTATTTACTCCCACTCTCTGATTCAACTCAAGCTCAGCAGGCTGCACTTGCCTTTGTGCTGCGGGTGGTGGTAAGTAGGTAGGCATGTTTTTCATGTCAGGTATATTAAATATAACTCTGGGACGCAGCATACATTTCCACACCAAACCCAGTTGTCACTTTCACTCCACTCACTCTATATCCAGGGGAAATGCAGCTGAGGGAATTTACAGGGCTTTTCAGCTAAATGGGCATAAATCACCGGTTTCATTCAAACTAAATAATCACAGGCCATAAAGAGCTACTAGTCTCTTACCATATATTACCACAAAGTTCCTGTGTGCAATAATGTGGCCATTCAAAGGAAAACAGAGCGAGACATTAGAAAGTGACATGTAATCCTGTTAGTCCACTGACATGCGGAGTGGCCGTGACATTTTTATCATACGTGTCCATTTCTATTTGGGAAATCAGCGGGATAAAAATGATTACTGCGCTGCCCTGAGAAGCAGACGGCCCCTGCAGGAGTCCACCAGGGTGTATTTGTGCCACAGCGGCTACGCCTGGCCATTCATAACGCACACGTTGGGAGGGATGATGCGTCTGTCTCAAGCACAAAAATTAGAAAAATAAGAAAACATAGCCTAGAGTAAAAAAAAACAATAAAATAAATAAATATATATATATATTTTTTAAAACACGTATCTTGCTGTGCACCTTTGTTGGAAGAGCTACAGATTGCAGATTCACTGTCTAAGCTCGGCATCATCACACGACTTCCACAAAATAGGCTCCAGCGAGATAATATCTTTAATTTGCTGTGCGGTTGACAAATCTGTATAGTAACTTGCAAAGCCACAGTCACATTCTAGCACTGCAATGCTGCTTGCCTGCTCAAATCTTTATCCTGTTTTTGTCTGACGATATGGGTATTAAAACAAGTTTGGGCACCCGAGTTTAGCTCTAATCCACCTCCACAGTCAAAGTGGGATTAATCTCAGTGCAAAGGGAAAGTGCGGGAGTCGTGTCACCTTGGTAAAGCCTGCGAGCAATTTGAACTTAAGAATGAAAAATCTATATATGGTCTGGTTATTTCACAGGTCTCTGATGATGCAGGCTCACTTAATTACCAGAACGAATTTAATGATGTAAAAGAGAAAAAAGAAAAAAAAAAATCTGAAATTGTTATAATAATGTAACATGTCCTTAATCTGCCTCGTTTGTCATTCGACAATACAGGTGGAGTAGCTGGGGAGAAAGCACTTGCCTATATGATTGTTCCTCATTTCTCCTCTGTGGCTGAGACAAAAGGAGACACTGTGATTAATCCATCCCTATCAGTCAGAGGTGGTTCTTCTTTTCATTTTTTACAGGTTTCACCGTCCGTATCAGATCCAAGGAAGTAACAAATTTGACAGATAAAGACAATGCAGCCCTTTTCTCTCATATACTCTCCCCTGTTCTCTGTTTATAATCATTTCCGGTTCTGGGCTGTTGTCTCGTACATCATTCCCTGCTTGAAGCCCTGACAGTGATCTGAGCACTGCCTCGGGCCGCTCTCCTTTCCTCCCACCTCTTTTTCCCCCTGTGCCCTCTTTTATTCTGTGGGCTTAGCTGACCTTTGGCCCGCTGCTTGTTTACTCTCATCACTGAAGTGTGAGCAGGAGAGCCATAAAGGCAGAGCCCTGCTGGGTTAATGTGGCCTGCTGAAGAGGGAAGGGGTGGCTCTGGGCTTCTCCACCTCATTCTGCTGCACTGAATGCACTGTCAGATGCCAGACAATACACTAGAAGAGCAGCGCTTTTGTGCAGATAAAGCCAGAGATTTCTCTCTTTTTGTATTTTTTTGCAACACTTTGAGATACCAAAATGTTGCTGCTTGCTGTAAAGCCTTGCCTGTTTAACTGTGTTTGACGATACACTCTGTTTCTCCGTTACTTCCACCACTGTTTCCAAAACATCCTGTTCATTACAAGTAACCCTGACCTCATGCAGCTCCTCACCTACCCAGTGCCTCCAGTGAAACGGCTCCGGCCACGTATCGACACTCTGTTCATCTAATTGCATTGATCCGCAAAGGTCTCCCAAAGCTAACTAATCGAAACAGAATTTATTTTCTGTCAATATTTGCAAAGGTCATCTCTCTTAAAGCCGTGGAGTAGACGGTGTGAGCAGAGAGGCGGCTCGGAGGAAGAGGAGGAGGAGGGGGAGGACCGTGGCATCTAGCCTGTTACTGAGGCTCGTCCAAGGTGAGCTTTAACTCTAGTTTGGCACTCAGGATCCAAGGCTTCTAATCCACCGTGTTATTAAAACCCGCTGCCAAAGCAACACACTAGAGACTACAGAGGGCTTAGAGTATCCATTTCACAAAGAGGCCAGTGTCACTACAGCCGCGTTCCACGTCTCCTTTGACTTCATATCATCTCCTTTGTCGTGGCGCCTGGATCAGTGACTTTCAGCTCCAGAAGCGGGGAGCTGGATCAAATTACCATTGAAAATCTTTTGTTCTGACAAATGAAACATAAGGATCCTCTTTCATCGACGTTCTTAAAGGCTTTTTTAAGCTTGGCCTACATCCACATGGCACAAAGAATCTGAGAGAATGCCTGCGGGCTCTCTCTAGCATGTACAGTAATTAACATGCCATTAACACATTAATACACATTAACTATTCCCAATGTTAATGGCAGAGTAATTACCATACCTGATACCGCACTGTGGGGAAGCCAAAGCACATTTGCCACTTTGTGTTTCACTTTCTTTGTTGAGCGAGTTGAAAAGAATCACTTGGAAAGATGGCTCAGTCTGCTTTTCCTCTGAAAATATCAATGTCAGTGCATGCGTCTGCCTAACCCAAAAGGAGCTTTTACACACATAATGTAGCTGCTCTGATTTGACTAAAAACATACCTGAAAGGAGGAAAGTTCTCATTGAAATCCACTAAGGACTGGCTTTAGAGGTGAGGCTGAAATACTGGAGGGGACAGAGCGTCTGGTGATTAAATGCGGAGCAAAAGAAGGCAGGGAATGGGCCCTAAACTGGGGAATCCCTGTCTAGAATGATGATGTATTTCCTCCCAGTGCGGTGAGTGATAAGCTAATCAGCCGCGCTGACAGTGAAGTGTTACAGCCCCTCAGTGCTAGGTCAAGACTTCTCCCATCATACACCACCAGCACACACTAAACAGACAGCGCACGGAGGTGGTGGTGGGGAGTGGCTCTGGTCAGAAAAGAAGATCTCTGTCAGTTCAGGTAGCCTTTGTCCCTCGATGATGATGAGCCCACCCCCCCACCCCATTCCCCCTCCATAAGAGGAGGCTGTGACAGCGGGGGCGAGGGGCGTGAGGGGAAGGGGGAGGGGGAGGGGGCTTGCCACTCTCGACCCACGACTCCAAGACATGCGGGGAAGCGGG